AAAACCAAAACCCTCATGTACTAAATACCGCGATCAATGGGATAGCGAATTTACTTTTCTGAAGAGGAGCAGGGTGGGGGACAGTCACGCGGTTTGTAAGTTTTGTAACTGCGACTTTAGCATCTCTCACGGGGAAGGAATGATGTATGTCGATCAGCACGAGAAAGGCTGTTTAGCATGGTCCGAAAGAACATTAGAGAATAGGATGACGTTAGACAACAGAACTGTTTGCTCTACTCTCATGTAAAATGAACCACTCTGGCCCCGCCCACAAATACACTCCTTCCAAAACAGTTAATACAAAGTCTGCAATAAATTTGTTCAATAACTCACTAAAAGAGTAAAGAAAAGTTACGTGAAATGAAAAGAAAAACTGCAAATGAAAAGAAAAACTGGAAAAGAAAAGCAATATGACATGAAAATAATGTGTGGAATGAAAATAAAATGTAAATGTAAAGACAAGCAATGTTAAATAAACAGAAAATATGCAAATAAGCCTTTAAATAAATGCTATTAATATATACCATATATATATACACTCACCGGCCACTTTATTAGGTACACCTGTCCAACTGCTCGTTAACACTTAATTTCTAAGCAGCCAATCACATGGCGGCAACTCAGTGCATTTAGGCATGTAGACATGGTCAAGACAATCTCCTGCAGTTCAAACCGAGCATCAGTATGGGGAAGAAAGTTGATTTGAGTGACTTTGAACGTGGCATGATTGTTGGTGCCAGAAGGGCTGGTCTGAGTATTTCAGAAACTGCTAATCTACTGGGATTTTCACGCACAACCATCTCTAGGGTTTACAGAGAATGGTCCGAAAAAGAAAAAACATCCAGTGAGCGGCAGTTCTGTGGGCGGAAATGCCTTGTTGATGCCAGAGGTCAGAGGAGAATGGCCAGACTGGTTCGAGCTGATAGAAGGGCAACAGTGACTGAAATAACCACTCGTTACAACCGAGGTATGCAGCAAAGCATTTGTGAAGCCACAACACGCACAACCTTGAGGCGGATGGGCTACAACAGCAGAAGACTCCACCGGGTACCACTCATCTCCACTACAAATAGGAAAAAGAGGCTACAATTTGCAAGAGCTCACCAAAATTGAACAGTTGAAGACTGGAAAAATGTTGCCTGGTCTGATGAGTCTCGATTTCTGTTGAGACATTCAGATGTTAGAGTCAGAATTTGGCGTAAACAGAATGAGAACATGGAACCATCATGCCTTGTTACCACTGTGCAGGCTGGTGGTGGTGGTGTAATGGTGTGGGGGATGTTTTCCTGGCACAGTTTAGGCCCCTTAGTGCCAATTGGGCATCCTTTAAATGCCACGGCCTACCTGAGCATTGTTTCTGACCATGTCCATCCCTTTATGGCCACCATGTACCCATCCTCTGATGGCTACTTCCACCATGTCACAAAGCTCTAATCATTTCAAATTGGTTTCTTGAACATGACAATGAGTTCACTGTACTAAAATGGCCTCCACAGTCACCAGATCTCAACCCAATAGAGCATCTTTGGGATGTGGTGGAACGGGAGATTCGCATCATGGATGTGCAGCCGACAAATCTGCAGCAACTGTGTGATGCCATCATGTCAATATGGACCAAACTCCCTGAGGAATGCTTCCAGCACCTTGTTGAATCTATGCCACGAAGAATTGAGGCAGTTCTGAAGGCAAAAGGGGGTCCAACCCGTTACTAGCATGGGGTACCTAATAAAGTGGCCGGTGAGTGTATATGTGTGTGTGTGTTTTCATTTAGGCTATAACACCTGTCTTAAAATGTAAGGGATCCTGGAGCTTGGTTGGGGTGGTGGGACTGCTCGCGGTGAGCTGCTGTGTGTGTGTGTGTGTGTGTGTGTGAGGTTAAAGCGCTAGCAGACCATCTACGGGACAAGCCGGATTCACCATATCTGTATGTACACAGTAATAATCTTTTACATTGTAATCCTTTTATTTGTAATATTTGGCATGTTTGCAAGCAGTGTGTGTGTAATAAACAGTGTGTGTGTAATAGGCAGTGTGTGTGTAATAAGCAGAGTGTGTGTGCAATAAGCAGAGTGTGTGTAATAAGTAGAGTGTATGTGTGTAATAAGCAGAGTGTGTGTGTGTAATAAGCAGGGTGTGTGTGTGTGTGTAATAAGCAGAGTGTACGTGTGTTGTGGACTCGCATAGGCTCACATCACTAACACACCCTTTAAATAACACAAAAACACTGCGCCGTTGACTTTAGAGCAGGTTCAGTCGGTCAACGGCTCAGTCTATTTCAGTTCCTCAAAATAGCAACAATGCGCCTGAACACACACTCGTTCTCAGACCAGCAGCCCATGGACACAGATGAGCGCAGATGCATTCGCTATGTGACGCAGGACGTGAAAATGAAAACTGCGTCAGGCTCAAACTAGCGAAACACACTTGCGTCGGGCATTGCACCGAGTGTGTGATGGAGTCCGAGGAGTAAATGAGAAGATCACCTCTCCTCTCCACGGCTTCGGTGCATTTCTTGACGAACTGTGGAACGGTGCATTTCTCCCGGTCACACAGAAGCTCCAGTCCACAGCCGAACACCTGATCTGAAGCACACACACACACACACACACACACACACACACACACACGTCAAACAGTCAATGAAGCACGCTTTCAAAACACTCACGGCTGAACCAGCGAAGGACTTCGAGTCCTACTTCATTTTGAAGGGAAATCCAATACATTGGTATAAGTCTGTTTGGTAACACTTAACTTGCAGGGGTGTGCATAAGACTGACATGACACCTTCATAATCATGACATGACACATGTCATAAATATGAAGGAGGTTTATGCATGTTTATGACAACTGTCATTAAGTGTCATTCGCTCAATTATTACATTTTTAATGCAAATATGACATTGTTTGAGATGTCTTTGTTATGACAACTTGACATTACTAAGACAACACAACCTGTCATAAATATATCATAAACATGACATAGCAGATTAATTATCAAACTTAAGAAAGCACTTAGCTTTATGGGTTAACATTACATTAAACTGTCATGTGGTTGGTTTTGACATTGGCTGTCATGAGGCCATTATAACATTTTAATGACAAACTCAATGTGTACCACTGTAGTCGAGGTCAAGAAAAATATTCATGACACAGTTATAATGCCTCATGACAGCCAATGTCAAAACCAACCACATGCAGATTAATGTAATGTTTATCCATAAAGCAAAGTGCTTTCTTAAGTTTGATAATTAATCTGCTATGTCATGTTTATGACATATTTATGACAGGTTGTGTTGTCTTAGTAATGTCAAGTTGTCATAACAAAGACATCTCAAACAATGTCATATTTGCATTAAAAATGTCATAATGGAGTGAATGACACTTTTTGACAGTTGTCATAAACATGCATAAACCTCCTTCATATTCATGACATGTCACGTCATGCTTATGAAGGTGTCATGTCAGTCTAATGCACACCCCTGCAAGTAAAGTGTTACCGTTTGTTTCTTTGTTTCATAAAGCCATGCAAGTATCTTGAGCTTTTTTCAATGTGAAAATCACACTTGAGTTAAAATAAACACTAAATAAGATATTTAACCCTGTAAAGCCTGATGTATGAAAAAATAGAATATATATATTTTTTTAAATGTGCATATGCGTAGTATCATATTTGTTCCATTAGGCTTTTATGGCTCATATAGTCTGAGATATAGAGATAATATGGAGGATAAACTGCTCAGAGACTCAAACTGAGCAAAAATATGCTTTTTGCAGCAGATGCTGATATTTATATGAAATTCTGATGCTTGTAAATCAATGAGATCTTTATATCAGTAGCCGATACTTACATAAAATGCACATAAATATCAATATCTGCCAATAATGTCTTATAGTAAGATGATATTTAAATGCTTAGTTTATGATCAAAGCTCTGTAGTTTTAATAATGCAATGCAATACAATGATGATTGAGAGACAAACCAATAAACCTTCCTAAAAAGCCCGATGATCATATTTAATACTCATGATTTTTATGATAAATGATGATGGATAATCATGCAAACCTGCTTCAGTCCAGCTGAAATATTACTAACAATATCGAAATTATTCTTATATTTACTTTGTCTAAACTGTCAATCAGAGACAGAAGGATTTAGAGGCTTTAGAAATTCATGCATCAGAGGCTTTTATATGTTTATGTTTTTATATGTGCTCCTGTAAGTTGTTGAGTTGTTGGACGTTCACCTTTAATGAGTCCTTTCTCCTGCAGTGTTTGCAGAGGCGGCCGCCGGAGGATCAGCTTCTTCAAGCGGCTCTTCACACGCTTGCGTTCGGAGTTCTCCATGTAAGAGGAGGAACGAGGGACTGCGGACACAAAGACTGTGAGTCCAGTGTGTGTGTGTGTGTGTGTGTGTGTGTGTGTGTGTGTGTGTGTGTGTGTGTGTGTGTGTGTGTGTGTGTGTGTGTGTGTGTGTGTGTGTGTGTGTGAGAAACAGCACTGGAACGTACGTGTTTACTCGCACTGTTAAATGAAATTCCACTACTTTTTTGTCTCTCAAGGACTATATTCAGAGATCTCACTTATCAAATAATATCTTTCAAATTCTAAAAAATGTAAATAAATAAATAAACTAATGAAATAAAATGGTACAAATAAAGTGAAACACAAGCAATGACTATGGTATTTTTTTAACCATTGAAAGGATACTATGACATAGATATCGCTTTCCTTATTCAAACTGATATTTTCATAAACTGTATATGATTGACTTATAAAAGAATAAAAGCTGTATCATATACTTGTATATTTATATGAGCAATATCACGCTCACAGCTGTGCTACATGCCTCTATATCAGACGAGCTGCAGCGCTGACTTAGTGTGAAACGATTGTTTTATCGATAAAATTAAATTCTATTTTCACATATATTGTCTTTCAATAATTCAAGCTCTTCATAAATATGGCCGTTTTTAAGAGTTTTCCACGACTTACATTTCAAAACGTCAAATTCAAGCACTTTAAGCACATTGTACAAACCCCGGAGTGTGTGTGCGTGCGAGTGTGAGTGTGCGTGTGTGCGCGTGCGTGCGTGCGAGTGAGTGTGCGTGAGTACGTGCGAGAGTGTGTGTGTGTGCGTGCGTGCGTGCGAGTGTGTGTGTGCGTGTGAGTGTGAGTGCGTGCATGTGTGCGTTCGTACGTGCGAGTGTGTGTGCGTGCGTGCGAGTGAGTGTGCGTGAGTACGTGCGAGAGTGTGTGTGTTTGTGCGTGCGTGAGTGTGCGTGAGTACGTGCGAGAGTGTGTGTGTGCGTGCAAGTGTGTGTGTGTGTGTGTGTGTGTGCGCGTGCGAGTGTGTTTGTGCGTGCGTGTGAGTGTGTGTGTGTACGTGCATGTGTGTGTTCGTGTGAGTGTGTGTGTGTGTGCGAGTGTGTGTGTGCATGCCTGCAAGTGTGCGTGCGTGCGTGCGAGTGAGTGTGCGTGAGTACGTGCGAGAGTGTGTGTGTGTGCGTGCGTGTGAGTGGGTGTGCGTGCGAGTGTGTTTGTGCGTGCGTGTGTGTGTGTGTGTGTGCATGTGTGCGTTCGTGCGTGCGCGTGTGTGTGTGTGCGTGCGTGTGAGTGTGCGAGTGTGTTTGCGTGTGTGTGCGTGCGTTCGTGTGTGTGTGTGTGTGTGTGTGCGTTCGTGCGAGTGTGTGTGCGTGTGCGAGTGTGTTCGTGCGCGTGTGTGTGTGTGCGAGTGTGCGTTCGTGCGTGCGAAAGTGTGCGTGCGAGTGTTTGTGTATGTGTGTGCGTGCGTGCGTACGTGCGAGTGTGTGTGTGTGTGTGTGTGTGCGAGTGTACGTGCGAGTGTGCGTGTGTGCGAGTGTACGTGCGAGTGTGCGTGCTTGCGTGTGTGTGTGTGTGTGTGTAACAGCACTGGGCATCTTAGATGATTGTTTGAAACGTACGCAATGCCTTGACTCCTCCGCGGTTCTCGTCCTCGTCTCCGCTCTGCTCCAACATCTCGACCGAGCCGGCTCTCCTCAGAGAATACAGCAGAACATTATCCAGAGGGTTCTCCTTATCCTGAAACACATGGGATTCGATGCTTTGAAAGAAATGAATACATTCATTCATCAAGGATGCATTATATTGATCAAAAGTGACAGATGGTTCAAAAGTTTATAATGTTACAAAATATTCTGTTTCAAATAAATGCTGTTCTTTTGAACTTTCTGTTCATCAAAGAATCCTGACGAATAAAATGCATCTCAGTTTCCACAAAAATATGAAACTGTGTTCAACACTGATAATAATCATAAATGTTTCTTGAGCATCAGATCCTCATATTAGAGTGATTTCTGAAGGATCATGTGACACTGAAGACTGGAGTAATGATGCTGGAAATTCAGCTTTGATCACAGGAATAAATTACACTTTACTGTATATTCACATAGAAAACAGCGGATTTACATTGTAATAATATTTCATAATTCTTATTATTTTTTTGGTCAAATAAATGCAGCCTTGGTGAGCAGAAGAGACTCTTTCAAACACATTGAAAAAAACATTTTACCAACTCCAAACTTTTGAAGTGAGTGTGTGTGTGTGTGTGTGTGTGAGAAAGAAGAGACCAGACAAACATGAGTCCATTTGGTACATAAACACACTCTGTTTAACATATATTATCTTAAAAGTCTTCATGTCTCTTGCAATTTTGCTTCTCACGTAAAATTTGATCTTGTTTTAAAGATGTTGAAAATATTTCAAAAATAAACACGACAAAACTTCTGATGAAGAAGCACAAGCCGAATTCTGCCTGTAATCTAGAACCATCTAAAGTGACTAAAGTTGTGTGTGTGTGTGTGTGTGTGTGTGTGTGTGTGTGTGTGTGTGTGTGTGTGTTTCACTCACCAGTCTGTCGATGACGTTCTGGATGGTTCTGTACCATTCTCTAATGAGAGAGTCCGTCTCCGACTGCAGCAAGAATTCATTTCCCGTAATCGTCCTCAGCTTCACACAACCATAAATAAACACACACACACACACACACACACACACACCCACGCACGCAAATGAAATATTGTTCCGTTCAGCTCTAGCAGAATTCAAATTTATATCAGGAAGTTAATGAGGAACTAAGTTATAAGCGTAGCACTGTTACCAGCTCACTCAGAGACTCTTACATCTGTGTCTGGTTCCTTTTGAGAAATAAAACTGCTTCATATCTGACTGCAGATTTTAGAACTAATATTTCTTTCTTTCTTTATAAGTAATCTTTCTTTCTTTTGAACTAATTACTCTGTCTTTCTTTCCAAGTAATGTTTTTCGAACTAATCTTTCTTTCTTTCTTTCTAACTGATCTTTCTTACTATTCTTTATTTTGAACTGATCCATCCATCCATTCATCATCTATCCATCCATCCATTCATCATCTGTCTATCCATCCATTCATCATCTGTCTATCATCCATTCATCATCTTCTATCCATCCATCCATCATCTGTCTATCCATCCATCCATCATCTATCCATCCATCCATTCATCATCTGTCTATCCATCCATTCATCATCTGTCTATCATCCATTCATCATCTTCTATCCATCCATCCATTCATCATCTATCCATCCATCCATCCATCATCTGTCTATCATCCATTCATCATCTGTCTATCCATCCATCCATCATCTGTCTATCCATCCATCCATCCATCCATCATCTGTCTATCCATCCATCATTCATCATCTGTCTATCCATCCATCCATCCATCATCTGTCTATCCATCCATCCATCCATCATCTGTCTATCCATCCATCCATCCATCCATCATCTGTCCATCCATCCATCCATCATCTGTCTATCCATCCATCCATCCATCATCTGTCTATCCATCCATCATTCATCATCTGTCTATCCATCCATCCATCCATCATCTGTCTATCCATCCATCCATCCATCATCTGTCTATCCATCCATCCATACATCCATCATCTGTCTATCCATCCATCCATCCATCCATCCATCCATCCATCCATCCATCATCTGTCTATCCATCCATCCATCCATCCATTCATCATCTGTCTATCCATCCATCCATCCATCCATCCATTCATCATCTGTCTATCCATCCATCCATCCATCATCTGTCTATCCATCCATCCATCCATCCATTCATCATCTGTCTATCCATCCATCCATCCATTCATCATCTGTCTATCCATCCATCCATCCATCATCTGTCTATCCATCCATCCATCCATCATCTGTCTATCCATCCATTCATCATCTGTCTATCCATCCATCCATCATCTGTCTATCCATCCATCCATCCATCCATCCATCCATCCATCCATCATCTGTCTATCCATCCATCCATCCATCCATTCATCATCTGTCTATCCATCCATCCATCCATCCATTCATCATCTGTCTATCCATCCATCCATCCATCCATCCATTCATCATCTGTCTGTCCATCCATCCATCCATCCATTCATCATCTGTCTATCCATCCATCCATCCATCCATCATCTGTCTATCTGTCTATCCATCCATCCATCCATCCATCCATTCATCATCTGTCTGTCCATCCATCCATCCATCCATCCATTCATCATCTGTCTATCCATCCATCCATCCATCCATCATCTGTCTATCCATCCATCCATCCATCCATCATCTGTCTATCCATCCATTAAAGCTATTTAAGTCGACTTCAAACTTTCTGGTCCGGCTTTCTCAAGCCAACTTAAAGTTTGATATGATTTATTAAACGTTATCATACTGCTTTATTAAAAAGTCTACATTTGATCTAATTTCTGTCTTTTTCTCACCTTGAAGACGTTTTTTTTGCTGGACAGATCGTTGGCCCACTGAAGCTGAGCTCCTCTCAGGTCCACACTGCTCTCTGGCCGGCTGTGACCCGGTTTCTGCATCGAAACACACACACACACACACACTCAGCAATATTTGACTTTTTTCAGACTAAAATGATTCCATGATGTTCCCTGTTAGTCTCACCCAGCTGTCAGGATTCTGGCTTTTAGGGTCTTTAAAGAACACGAGACTGTTTCCCACCAGCACCACCCATGAAGGGTTCCAGTTTTTCCTGCAAACACAGAAAATAACCCGAAAAACTTCATTTTTTGTCATTTCAAGTCGAGCAAATTGTGCAAAGAGACCCTATTTAGGTCGATGGGTCAAAATCTCATATTTATTGTTATTTATTGTTTCCTAAATGTCTCCAAAATGTTAGTAATTAAAAAAAAATACACACATGAACCACTCTCTGTCTGACTGGTTAACATTAACCAGCATAATCTTCACTACATCTCGTTAGATTTGGTACATAAAACACACTCTGTTTAACATGTATTCTCTGGAAAAGTCTTCATGTCTCTTGCAATTTTGCTTCTCACATAAATTTGATCTTGTTTTAAAGATGTTGAATAAACTTCTGATGATAAAGCTGTTTTTTGCAGCACAAGCCGAATTCTGCCTGTAATCTAGAACCATCTAAAGTGACTCATATTATTTATTTGAGTGTGCGTGTGTGTGTTTGCGTGTTACAACTCAAAGTGTGTGTGTTTGCGTGTTGCAACTCAAGGTGTGTGTGTGTTTGCGTGTTGTAGATCCAGGTGTGTGTGTGTTTGCATGTTGTAGCTCAAGGTGTATGTGTTTGCGTGTAGTAGATCATGGTGTGTGTGTGTGTGTGTGTGTGTGTGTGTGTGAAGATAAGCTCACCTCAGTTTCCTGCCTCCTTCTGCTATCTTGGTTTTGTTGAGCAGACCGGCCTTTTCCAGTTCCTGTCATAATACAGTCAGTCAGTGTGCATCGTGTGTGTGTGTGTGTGTGTGTGTGTGTTCAGTGAAAGTTTTTGGTGTAAATGGGTTTAGAATGACATCATCAGAATTAGTTTGGATTAACCAGTGTGCGTGCATCTACCCATCTGAATAGAGCAGATGAATATAATTCATTATTATTAATTATGTGTATATATATATACACTCACCGGCCACTTTATTAGGTACACCTGTCCAACTGCTCGTTAACACTTAATTTCTAAGCAGCCAATCACATGGCGGCAACTCAGTGCATTTAGGCATGTAGACATGGTCAAGACAATCTCCTGCAGTTCAAACCGAGCATCAGTATGGGGAAGAAAGTTGATTTGAGTGACTTTGAACGTGGCATGATTGTTGGTGCCAGAAGGGCTGGTCTGAGTATTTCAGAAACTGCTAATCTACTGGGATTTTCACGCACAACCATCTCTAGGGTTTACAGAGAATGGTCCGAAAAAGAAAAAACATCCAGTGAGCGGCAGTTCTGTGGGCGGAAATGCCTTGTTGATGCCAGAGGTCAGAGGAGAATGGCCAGACTGGTTCGAGCTGATAGAAGGGCAACAGTGACTGAAATAACCACTCGTTACAACCGAGGTATGCAGCAAAGCATTTGTGAAGCCACAACACGCACAACCTTGAGGCGGATGGGCTACAACAGCAGAAGACTCCACCGGGTACCACTCATCTCCACTACAAATAGGAAAAAGAGGCTACAATTTGCAAGAGCTCACCAAAATTGAACAGTTGAAGACTGGAAAAATGTTGCCTGGTCTGATGAGTCTCGATTTCTGTTGAGACATTCAGATGTTAGAGTCAGAATTTGGCGTAAACAGAATGAGAACATGGAACCATCATGCCTTGTTACCACTGTGCAGGCTGGTGGTGGTGGTGTAATGGTGTGGGGGATGTTTTCCTGGCACACTTTAGGCCCCTTAGTGCCAATTGGGCATCGTTTAAATGCCACGGCCTACCTGAGCATTGTTTCTGACCATGTCCATCCCTTTATGGCCACCATGTACCCATCCTCTGATGGCTACTTCCACCATGTCACAAAGCTCTAATCATTTCAAATTGGTTTCTTGAACATGACAATGAGTTCACTGTACTAAAATGGCCTCCACAGTCACCAGATCTCAACCCAATAGAGCATCTTTGGGATGTGGTGGAACGGGAGATTCGCATCATGGATGTGCAGCCGACAAATCTGCGGCAACTGTGTGATGCCATCATGTCAATATGTACCAAACTCCCTGAGGAATGCTTCCAGCACCTTGTTGAATCTATGCCACGAAGAATTGAGGCAGTTCTGAAGGCAAAAGGGGGTCCAACCCGTTACTAGCATGGGGTACCTAATAAAGTGGCCGGTGAGTGTATATATATATATATATTATGGAAGCTTGTTTCCGCCACGGAATAAAATAAATAAATAATTTTGTAACTTTTTATCTCAACATTCAGACTTTATAAATTAAATCACAATTGTTAATATCTCACAATTTGTGTGTGTGATTGTGGATGGATGGATAATTGATAGATAGATAGACGTGGATGGATGAATAGATTTGTGGATGGATGGATGTATAGATTTGTGGATGGATGGATGGATGGATGAATGGATAGATGTGTGGATGGATGGATGGATGGATGTATAGATTTGTGGATGGATGGATGGATGGATGGATAGATGTGTGGATGGATGTGTGGATGGATGGATGGATGGATGAATGGATGGATGGATAGATGTGTGGATGGATGGATGGATGGATGGATGGATGAATGGATGGATGGATAGATAGATGTGTGGATGGATGGATGGATGAATGGATGGCTGGATAGATGTGTGGATGGATGGATAGATGGGATAGATGTGTGGATGGATGGATGGATAGATGTGTGGATGGATGGATGGATGGATGAATGGATGGATGGATGAATGGATGGATGGATAGATGTGTGGATGGATGGATGGATGGATGGATGAATGGATGGATGGATGAATGGATGGATGGATAGATAGATGTGTGGATGGATGGATGGATGGATGGATAGATGTGTGGATGGATGGATGGATGGATGGATGGATAGATGTGTGGATGGATGTGTGGATGGATGGATGGATGGATGAATGGATGGATGGATAGATGTGTGGATGGATGGATGGATGGATGGATGGATGGATGGATGGATAGATAGATGTGTGGATGGATGGATGGATGAATGGATGGCTGGATAGATGTGTGGATGGATGGATAGATGGGATAGATGTGTGGATGGATGGATGGATGGATAGATGTGTGGATGGATGGATGGATGGATGGATGGATGAATGGATGGATGGATGGATGGATGGATGGATGGATGAATGGATGGATGGATAGATGTGTGGATGGATGGATGGATGGATGGATGAATGGATGGATAGATGTGTGGATGGATGGATAGATGTGTGGATGGATGGATAGATGTGTGGATGGATGGATAAATGGATAGATGTGTGGATGGATGGATAGATGTGTGGATGGATGGATAGATGTGTGGATGGATGAATAGATGGATGGATGGATGAATAGATGGATGGATGGATAGATGTGTGGATGGATGGATGGATAGATGTGTGGATGGATGGATGGATGAATGGATGGATGGCTGGATAGATGGATGGCTGGATAGATGGATGGATGGATGGATGGATGGATGGATAGATGTGTGGATGGATGGATGGATAGATGTGTGGATGGATGGATGGATGGATGGATAGATGTGTGGATGGATGGATGGATAGATGTGTGAATGGATGGATGGATGGATGGATAGATGTGTGGATGGATGGATGGATGGATGGATGAATGGATGGATAGATGTGTGGATGGATGGATGGATGAATGGATAGGTGTGTAGATGGATGGATAGATGTGTGGATGGATGGATAGATGTGTGGATGGATGAATAGATGGATGGATGGATGAATAGATGGATGGATGGATAGATGTGTGGATGGATGGATGGATGTGTGGATGGATGGATGAATGGATGGATGGCTGGAAAGATGTGTGGATGGATGGATGGATGGATGGATAGATGTGTGGATGGATGGATGGATGGATAGATGTGTGGATGGATGGATCGATGGATGGATAGATGTGTGGATGGATGGATGGATGGATAGATGTGTGGATGGATGGATGGATGAATGGATGGATGGATAGATGTGTGGATGGATGGATGGATGAATGGATGGATAGATGTGTGGATGGATGGATAGATGTGTGGATGGATGGATAAATGGATGGATGGATGAATGGATAGGTGTGTAGATGGATGGATAGATGTGTGGATGGATGAATAGATGGATGGATGGATGAATAAATGGATGGATGGATAGATGTGTGGATGGATAGATGAATAGATGGATGGATGGATGGATGTGTGGATGGATGGATGGATGAATGGATGGCTGGATAGATGTGTGGATGGATGGATGAATAGATGGATGGATGGATGGATGGATGGATGGATAGATAGATGTGTGGATGGATGGATGGATGGATGGATGGATGGATGGATAGATGTGTGGATGGATGGATGGATAGATGTGTGGATGGATGGATAGATGTGTGGATGGATAGATGTGTGGATGGATGGATAGATGTGTGGATGGATGGATGGATGTGTGGATGGATGGATGGATTCTCACCGGTGTTACACCTTCACTATCTGGTGAGCTGTCCGATGAAGGCGCTTCCACCACCAGCCTGTAGTCAGACTGCAGAGAAGAGAAGAAAAGTAAATATATACTCATACCCTGATGACTTCATGACTTCATACTCTACACTAGAGTGACTCTTACTTTTCCGTTTGCAGAAGTTCTCTGAGCCGGTGACTGCAGGAACATGGAGTAGGAGTGGCTCATGTGGGCCACGCCCCCTGTCAAGGCGGAGCCAATGCGGCGTGAATCCTCGCAGGAGGCGGAGCTTAACGCATCAGATGACGACGCCCTCTGCATGCTCTGCCAGAGGAACTCATCAGGTTAGATTCACTCACTTCAGATTCAATTACATTAGACTCAGTCCGGTCGCATTATTCATCTCAGTAATGTTCAGGTTAATTTGATTATCCTCCAAGCACTCAGCTCAATTAGCAAACTCCGTTACAGCAGTGCTGGACAAAAGCAGCTTATCAGACAGACTGAACCCCCATGTGATCGCCGCGTTTCCTCCATATGCTGCGGATTATTCTGGATCACATGCAAACGGCCCAAAAGCATCAGTAGGACACAAAATACAAGGAAATTAAAAGAAAGAGGCAATGCCTCATTTTATATTTCACCTCTTTCTGTCACGTCCAGTCAAACCTTAAATGACTTGAACGATTTGTGAGTTTGGCACTTTTTAGTGAAATTACTGAACTTTGATTGATGGTTCGAATAGAAACAAGCTATTAAGAGAAAGAAATAACAATGAAAATATACACAAAATCTGAACATTGTTAGGACATTCTTACGGGTAATATTTTGGAATAAATGTTAAATCACTTAAAAAAAACACTAAATTATTCACATTAATAGTTGGGTTTAATAAATATAGCATTAAATGCATTGTTAATGTAAACGTATAAAATACTATTGTGTTGGTTATTTTTGATAGTGCCAGAAAAAGAGATTTTGTGATTATTTATTTATTTATTTATTTTACCTTGAAAATGTTAGCCTGGGAAAACCCAGACAACTTCCGGCAAATTTAGATTTGCTCCTAAAGTTAGTCTGGCAAAGAGCTCATTCAAGCCCATTTCCAATCCGTCGAAATCGCGGCACCAATCAGAAGCGTTGGGGCGGGCTTTACACGATGACGACAGCGCTGGGATTTTGAAGCAGATTTTGTAGCCTACATTACAAAGATGGATGCCGCCGTCGAACATCACCCGTTCCAATCAGCTATCGCGTCTGTTTTAAGTGATTTTAACGTTTCCTTTTTGTTAAAAACCGAGTAAAGAACAACACTCGGAGATGTGTCTCCGCCGCTCTGCATACGTCATCTCCTTCATCGCTCTGATTGGGTTTAGGTCTATCCGCGACGTCCGTTGGTGACGCCCTCTGGAAATGATTTGTCTATGACGCTTTGCCAGACCATAACTCAGTTACAACTGAGAATGCTCTGGTTTTAACCAGGCTATGAAAATGTCAGAATTAC